ATTGGTGGAAAAAAATTGAAGAGGACACAGATAAATGGAAAGGTATCCCATGTTCTTGGGCTGGAAGAATGAACATCATCAAAATATCCATATTACCCAAAGCAATCTACACATTCAACATAATCCCTATCAAAATACCAATGATATTCTTCACAGAAATAGAAAAAGTGATCTTAAAATTTGTATGGAACCACAAGAGACCCCATTTAGCTAAGGCAATCTTGAACAAAAAGAACAAAATTGGAGGCCTCATACATCCTGACTTCATAATACACTATAAAGCTATAATAACCAAAACAGCATGGTACTAGCATAAAAATAAACAAATAGATCAATTGAACAGGATACAGATCCCAGAAACAAGCCAGTGTGTTTACAGAACCTTACAGAGCTCCTTCCCCATTAGGCCTACCATGAGGAATAAAGGGATAGAGAAATATGTCAGCCATGTAGTACAATGTTTAAAAAGCAAGAGTTGTATCACAATATAAATGTCAGGATAAAATGTGGAAACAGTAATCTTATTATACTTGAGTGACACACATCTGCGAAGAATTCTCAAATGAGGTGAGACACCAAATATTCAATTTGGAAAGTTGTTATCTAAAAAGCTTCTGCACAGCCACAGAAACTATTGACAGTGTGAATAGACAACCTGCAGAGTAGGAGAAAATATTTGCAAACTATGCATCCAACAAAGGATTAATGTCCAGAATATACAAGTAACTCAAATGACTTAAGAGTAAAAAAACAAATAACCCATTTTTAAAAATGGACAAAGGAGCTGAATAGGTATTTCTCAAAGGAAGAGATATAAATGGCCAACAGACACATGAAAAAATGCTCATCATCATTCAGCATCAGAGAAATGCAAATCAAAACTACATAGTGATATCATCTCACCCCAGTTATACTGGCTAGTATCAAAAAGACAGAGAATAACAAATGCTGGTGAGGACATGGAGAAAGGGGAAACCTCCTTCACTGTTGGTGGGACTGAAAATTGGTGCAGCCATTATGGAAAACAGTATGGAGGTTCCTCAAATAACTACAGATAGAACTGCCATAAGATCCAGCAATTCTACTGCTGGGTATGTACCCAAAGGAATGGAGATCATCAGATCAGCTCCCATTTTTATCTCAGCACTATTTACAATAGCTAAGAGTTGGAACCAACCTAAATATCCAACATTAGATGACTGGATAAGGAAAATGTGGTAAATCTACACAATGGAATACTACTCTGCCATAAAAGAGGATGAGATTCTGCCATTTGCAGCAACATAGATGAATTTAGAGAAAATTATGTTAAGTGAATAAAGCCAGGGATAGAAAGAGAAATACTGCATGTCCTCACTCATAAGTGGAGCTAAAAAAAAAAAAA